ACAGTCAACAAGCCCTCATTTTTCCTTTATAGACATATCTCACCCAACAAAATGACTTGTCATGTTGCAGGTTTTGCATGGCAGTACTCAAGATCCATAAATACATACTATAACCAAGACTGGGTTAAAATACTTCAATTTATTGTTCTTTATCTGTACTGATCATTGGTCAAATAAACTACATCTTTTTAACTTCCACAAAAAATCAGTGAGAAGGAATTCATAAACATTGCAAGAAAGGCTGCAGGTGTTGATGGCTTAAAAGGAGAAATATTAAGATGTAGATGTGATTTGCTTATGGAGGGCCATGTGACTCATTTAACATGGCATTTTTAATGGACAATTGGAAAAAAAATAACATCACTGTTTTCCCAAACAAAGGAAAAGGTAGCAAGAGTGAATATAATACTTCAAGTAGATCAATTTGGAGAGAGTGTATAGATGATATTTTTTGCTCTTTAGCAGGTCATTGTGAAATGAAAGAAATGTATTATAGGTTCACATAAGATAAATAGCCTTGATTTATAGGATGCTTCCCACACAAATGAAGTTGCAGTCTGTTAAATGTGTAAAATGCAGTGCGATTAAATACAAGATTAAATGGAATATTTGAAGATCAGGGAATAAGAAAAGGATGTATGATCACCATTTAATATATCGACCAGTACATGCAGAAAGAATTAATAAAACCACACCATACTGCATCCAGTTTTGGTCACTGCATTACAAAAAAGATGTTTAGATTTGGGAAAAAGTGCAGAGAAAAGTAACTTAAGTTGATTAAAGCCCCGGAGACTAAAACAAATGAGGAATGGTTGCAGGATTTGGGTATGGCCAGTCTAAAGTAAAGAAGGACTAGGGGGTAGTAGTAGTCCAGTGTTTGAGGGGCTGCCAGAAAGAAGAGGGGGTCAACTTATTTTCCAAAGCACCAGAGAGCAGGACAGGAAACAATGGATGGAAACTAATCAAGGACAGAAGCAGCCTAGAATTAAGGAGAAATTTCCTAACTGTGGGAACAATTAACTAGTGGAACTGGTTGCCATCAGAAGCTGTGGGTGGTTCATTGCTGGAGGTTTTTAAGAAGAGACTGGACAGTTACTTGACTGTAATGAGTTCTCCTGCTTAAGTAGAAGGTTGGATTAGAAGACCTCCAAGGGCCCTTCCAGCATTATTCTGAATTGAATTGAATTGTGATATTGTTATGTGTATGAGGAGACAGGAATGTGAATGTACTTTTGTATGCAGATAATGCCATGCCATTAGTCAGGAACTCTAATGATTTGCAATAGTCGATATGATAAAAGGAATAATGGACTCGGAAACTAGTATATCAAAGGACAAGGTTTGGCATAAGGGAGATGGAATAAATGATTGTATGTTGCAAAAGTAAGTAGACGTCTATCTTAGTTTAAACCCCACCTCCAGTAGAAGCAACTGGTCTTCCTTATCTCTCCCACACAGCTGTGCACCAATTAATTGTTCTTTAAATCTTCTCAATTCTCTCTTTCTGGGATTTTACCAACTCCATCCAGTCTCAACCTTCTTGGTCATGCCCCCCCCCCCCCAACCATTCATTCCTCCTTCATATATTAATTTCATTATTTGATCCCTTTCGTTCTCTTTATAAGGCTGCAAATATTCTTCTGGACCTTTCTTGTTTCACTTTCTATCACTTTTTGTTGCTATTCGTTACACTGGATTTGTGTTTGTGAAGGTGCACCTGACTATTTCCCTAACTGGTAGCTTACCGGCCTATGTGTGTTTGATCCAATAACCAGACCAAAATCAATTGATTCGACAGCATACTAGAACAGCCACATTGGAAGTTAAGAATGGTTTCTCTCCTGACTTTCAAAATTATTCTAAAACTCTTTTGCACAACTAAGTAGCAGTATTTCTCTGACCTTAACTGAATTTGAAAAAGTAAACTGGATCAGAGCTACTTAATGTTTGACTGGGAAACCACCAAGATTCATTAGGGCTAACCAAAATGACAAAACATGTACCAAGATGTCACAATGAATCAAATTGATGTGATAATGTACTTATTTTGTGAGACTGTATGCAAGTATGAGAAGAGTTTGTACCACGATGTTACTGCACACACTTTTGTTACATGCCCCTCCCTTTGCATCCCTATATGCACCATCATATGTCAGCACTATAGATTATACTGGCGAGCTGGGGGGGGGGATGTGAATGGCAAATTGCTTCTGTTGTCAAAAAAACATACATGGATATAGTCATGTAGGCATGAAAGCCAACTGGGTGACATTGGGCCAGTCACTCTTAGACTAATCTACCTCGCAGGCCAGTTGTTGTGGAGAAAGTAGAATGAGGAAGACATATGTCCACTGCCTTGAATTATTTATAAAAAATAATAAAGGTGGGATTTTAAAAAAAATCTAATAAATAAAAAAGAGAATAATCATGGGTTGAGATGAGTTTGGGGGGGGGAACCCTGTTTTTTTTCTAGGCTGCTTTAGGCTCCACCATAATGGCAATTTTGCCTCTCAAAATATAAGAAACAATATCATTAATTTTCTATCATTCTGGTTAGAAGGGCTTTAGATGCATGGGGTTACCTAGTCCCAGAGGCAATCACAGGAGGATCAAAAAAAAAGTCAACATGGTAGCCCCAATCATGCCACTGAAGTCGTACTCCTTTATTGAGTATGTTCTGCATGTGCTATACATGTAAAAATGGAGCAAACGTTTGCTCGCATTTCTGCAGCTGCCATGTTGACTTTCTTGATCCCCCTGCTGATTTCCGTGCCCAGGTCCCCCTTGAAGACATTTTACTTGCAATGTTCAGGGTTTTTTGTTTGTTTGTTTGTTTGTTGTCATTTAAGCTGCCCTGGAATGAGAATTTTTACATTGTAAATGCCATTAGCATTCTTCTCTCCCAGCTATCGAAATAGACACAGGTAGCCCTCTACGTACAATTGAGCCCAAAATTTCTGTTGCAATTGAGACATTTGTTCAGTGAGTTTTGCCCCCTTTTACGACCTTTTTTGCCATAGTTGTTAAGTGAATCAGTGCAGTTGTTAAGTTGTTAAGTGACTCTGGCTTCCCCACTGACGTGGCTTGTCAGAAGGTTGCATGACCCCAGGACACTGTAACTGTCATAAACATAGAGTCAGTTGCCAAGCATCTGAACTCTGATCACGTGACCGTGGGGATGCTGCAACAATTGGAAGTGTGAAAAACGATCATGAGTCACTTATTTCAGTGCCGTTGTAACTTTGAAGGGCCATTAAACAAACTTGTAAGTCGAGGACTACCTGAATTGATGAACAGCTTGGAAAAAGAATGTGCTCTCTACTTGTGGGGAGCGCAGAATCCTCCAGAGTTTCCTGAAAAAAGTCCAGGAGATGAAGCCAACAGGGCTAGGGTGTATGGGATTTACTTATTGTTACTAATATTGTTGACTGGGTGCAGGTCAGAGAGTATAGTGGGACCTACCATGCAGCAAAGGTGATATAACCTCTCCACCATCTTTGCAACGCCAATGAAACACCCAGGAGGGATTTCCCAGATCGTTGGATGTGCTGCTGAACGCTGCTCAGACAAAGTCAAATCACTCTGTAGTTTTCTGGCATAATTTTGCAAAGTTTTTTCAGGGGAAAGATGTTCACAACTGTTTCCAATTTAGATGCCACAATTATTGCAGAAACTGTTGAGTTTACAGGGACATTATCTAGTCAGAGTTTGTGGGATAGGTTTCAGTTATTGTGGCCTGAGGAATTGAAAAATATACTTGTGGGAACTTGGCCAGCTACCTGCTCTTTGCTTTTATGGCTGTTAAACCCAAGCTGGAAGGATCCAAGCCGGTGGATCAAGGGAGAAGTCAATCATCTTTGTGTGAGAGAGTTGGTTGCTGCCTAAGGAAAAAAAAACTGGTTAGACCTCTTGAAGAGGCAGCTCCTCAGCTCTGATTTTTTTTTAAAGTTGCATTTCTTTGGAGCAATGGGCTAGAAAGATGTTTATTTTTACCCAAGAAGATTCCAGATTTTAACCCTTTCTACCCATGGTGATGGCTTACTGTTCAATGCAGAGTGTATTTATTGCAGCTCCTGACTGTTGCATTCCCCCATTTGTTTACCTCTTTCTAGACAGTAAAAGCAACAAAAGAATGGTGGGGTACCTCACCAGATTCTGACCATTTTTCCTGTCACTTGGGCTAGCAAGAAGTGGCAAAATGCTTGTCAATTTGGTTGAAACAACCAAAGCAGAGAGACATGTGTTTTATAGTTCCATCAATGAACATGAAAAAGAAAAAGAAAAATGAAGCCATTTCTCTCTTTCCACAGGTGAATTTGTAAGGAAAAAAAAAAATATTCCCATAGAGATCAGTGACCAGTGAGTGGAAGAGAAGGGCTGATCCTGCCATATGCCCAGTAACTCATTGCCCAGTAGGCAATGAACCAAACAGGGCAGTGCAACTAGAGGTGATGTGCAAGGGAACTATTTTAATTCTGATCCAATACTCAAGGACATTGTTATCACAAATTATTTATAGCTTGCCTATAAATACATGGCTTTGGGTGGAGTTAAAACAGAGGGGGGGGGGGAAGAGCAGCTAAGAACACTTATAAACACTCAAACTAACCCAAAGCTATCTGAGCCCCAGACCATCTCACAAAGCTGGGTTTTTTTTAGTGCCTTGTGAAAGGCCAGGGGGCCAAGGCAAATCTAATTTCTGTGGGGATGAAGTTCTGGGGAGGCACTGTAACAAAGACCCTCCTCTTGGGTCAGAATAACAGTTGGAAGGGACCTTGAAGGTCTTGTTGTCCAACCCTCACTCAAGCAGGAGACCTTATACCATTTCAGACAAATGACTGTCCAGTCTCTTCTTAAAGACCTCCAGTGATGGGACAACCACAACTTCTTGAGATAAGCCAGAAAATACTTTTAGTTTGGGTCTCTCCTTGATTAGCTTCTATCCGTTGCTTCTTGTCCTCTCTTCTGGTGCTTTGAAAAACAGGTTGACCCCCTCTTCTTTGTGGCAGCCCCTCAAACATGGAAATACTGCTATCATGTCACCCTCTAGTCCTATATTTCATTAAACTAGGCATACCCAATTCCTACAACTGTTCTTCTAGTAGGCGAAACTCTTGCGGTGATACCTCTGTTCTATGCCAGCTTCTTTCTTCTAGTGCAAATTTGCCTTTGAAGGTAATTAAATACTTATAGTAACATAAAGGAGAGTTTATAAATCAATGGGCTAGCTGTTTTAAAATTGTTGCCTGGATTATTTTTTCTTCCTTTTTTTATTTAATAGGCATAAAAAATACACACAATATTTTCTTCTTTTACTCATCGTAGGAATAAAATAAGGTTGCTCCCGAGCAAAGGGTAACAAATATTAAGATTGTTCCAATTTTTTCTTTCTAAAAAAAAAATGGTTCCTTCACTTTCCACTGGGTTGATTTTCTCAAATGTAACAGATTGGCTTCTGTTAGATGACACAACTGTTTGCAGCTATTTCCAGGACTAATCCAGATGTGAAAAGCATTGAGCAAAAGACCTGAAGAAAGAAAATAAAGAAGGAAGTGTCATATTGTGGTTTGTATACGAGTAGTCCTTGACTTATAACTGTTTAGTGATCATTCAAAATTTCAATGGCACTAAAAAAAAGTTGACTTACCATCAGTACTCACCCTTACAACTATCACAGCATACTCACAGTCACATACAGCAATCAAAATTCAGGTGCTTGGCAACTGGCATGTATTTACGATGGTTGCAGCATCCTTGGGTCATGCGATTTCCATATGTGACTTTCTCAGCTGGCTCCTGACAGGCAAAGTCAAGATTCATTTACAGCCAGATTCATTTACAGACCATGTGATTTACTTAACAACTGCAGCGATTTGCTTAAAAAGGTGGCAAAAAAGATTGTAAAATTGGGTGTGCCTTGGTTAACAATGGAAATTCTAGTCCCAGCTGTGATCATAAATTAAGAACTGACTGTAGTACCCTACATGAACCATGATTCCATGGCTTGTTCAGCTCAAAGAAGCCATTTCTTATCCTGTAAACCTATCTATAGTCTCTCCTATCCCTCCACTTGCAGAGAGGAAATATTTAAACATACAGTAGAAGGAAAAAAAATAATAAAAAGCTTTCCAGGTTGGCTAAAAAGTTGTACTGCAGGGTTCAGGCTCACAAAAAGCAATACAATGCACAATACAGACAAGGCTCCTTGACTGCAGAATTTGTCAATGTATACATTGTGCTGGGACAGAAAATGTCTGGGGCAAAACTGGTGTGAAATTTTTACCTGGCTGGCTGGGGAATTCTGGGAGTTGAAGTCCAATGGTCTTAACATTGCCAAGGTTAAACACCACTGCTTTAGACTCTTCCTCTAGTCTAATGATTGAATAAGACATTGAATTCACCTGAAATACACGCTGAAAATGCCAATGAAAAAGACTGCAAATTGACCTTATTTAAAAACAGAGGTCAATATTTGTTTTGGAAAGCAAAAATATGATCAAAGGTCATATTCCTCCATTTGTAAGTAATATTCACTCAGGATGATAATGATTTTCTAAAAATAAATTAAAATTATTTTAGATTTTTTAATGCAAATTACTAGAAAGGTAGCAAAAGAAATCCATAAGAAAATGAATTTTTTGCTGTATCATTTTTTTTTTACAATTGAGTTGTTTTATTTAACATGGCAGCTCAGTATTATTTCTCATGCACAGTAGATTGTTGCTTGTTTAGACAGGTTTAAACATAAGGTGAACCTTTTCTATCGTTTGAATATTTTAGGTTGATAACATTTCATCCCAGCGATATACAGAATACTATTCCTTTTTAGTAATGATCTGAAATTTCCCATAAGAGGATTAACAGCCTTGATCTCCCCTCTATATGAAGACATAAATAAATTAGCATCCTGTGTGTAGAACATTCAATTTTACAGTAGGTGGTGTTCTTGTTACGCTTTCATACATGGCATGCTAATTAACTATCTTAAAGAGAACATCATTAAATTATTCCCTCAACCCGCTTAAAACATTTCAATGTTTAATGTACTCCACCACTTCAATTATATTTAGAAAGAATAGCATAACCACAGCTTTCTTCCCTAATGGCTTTCAGAATAGATTTTATATTTTACTGTGGACACAGAAGAAATTTGAGAACAGAAAGAGAAGCCTGTATTCCATCTGTGATATTTAAACTAAAACTGTCTAAGAAAATTCACAAAGGAGAAAGCCTTTTGTCTGTCCGAAAGTGTTCACTTATTTGCAAAAATGCTAAGTGTAACTGATGCAAAAACTCGAGTTTTTTTAAAAAAAAAAAATTAGAAAGATACTTACCGATTTGGAGAAAGATGCCTGAACTTTTTTTTTCTTTTTCTTTTTTAACTGTTCTCAAAGGTATTACAAGCATGTTGAGGGAATGCTTTGGAGAAGATAAATGCACAAAAGCTCCTTTGTTGACATATCTGAAATTAAGTACCAAGAGACAAAAGGGGCTAGGATAGTGTGGCTAGTCTGTATATTATAACATGGTTTTCATTTTAATTCTGAACTAGGAGCAAAGGGGAAATACTTGCCTTTAACTCTTTCCTGGTAGAGTCTGATATAGAAAGCTGGTATTTTATACCATCTCACCAGACCTTGTAGCTCCAAATAAAGATATGCTGCAGTGCAGTATCCCAGCCCTTACCAAGCACATCTGTTTGCTGGCTGAATAGGGTAGAATTTCTTGTCAGGTGGATTTAGTTTGAACACTTTTCTTGGGTAGTAAATAGGACTTAGCAATAGCACTTAGACTTATATACCACTTCATAGTGCTTTACAGCTTTCTCTAAGCAGTTTAGAGAATCAGCATATTGCCCCCAACAATCTGGATCCGACCTCGGCTAAATCAACTTTGAGCCGGTGAGAATTGAGCTGCTGGCAGTTGGCAGAATTAGCCTGCAGTACTGCATTCGAACCACTGTGCCATTACGACTCTTTTAACCCCTTAAGTAATTCTATATAAAGAGGAAAACAGCAACTGCAGTTTTGCTTTCATCCATTGCTCGTATCTGAGGGAAAAGATCTTAATATCATGTGAAAATACATAATTTTAGTTGAAAGAATTCTAAATAGTGTAGTCCATTAACTTCATATTAGAGAAGGGTAAGATTAAATCTGGGAATTTAGCATGTAGGAAAAATGCTGGTCCACTTCCTGATGAGGTGCTGATGACAGTGTAAGGCAAAGCCAGAGTCAAGACAGATATTGAGTGGCCACTGACTGCCTGACCATCAGTGGAAGGAATGTGGCAAATACTCTCCCAAACTCTGGAGAACTGGTTAGCTCCTGGTGCTGGAGGACTGGGCAGCCTTGTCTGGCATTGGCTATTTTGGCATTTTATTTGTCTGGGATGCCAGTTTGCTGGCAGCAGAAGCAGACAGGACCTCTGCCAATCCTGTCCTGAAGGCATTGCCAGAAAAAGACTGGCTGCCACTCAGAAATTCCCGGATCAGACTTTGCTGTAGGAACTTCCTATACTATCGAGGTCATTCTGAAGGTTGGCTTAGAGGAGGGTGATTATTTATTCTTTCGTCCTTTGACATAGCCTGGAACAAGAACACAACTTAGGATAGCTTGAAAGCCAGATTTTACCCCTGCAAAGCTCCTCGGAGTTGCTCCTCGCCACGGACGGAGATATCTCCCTGTCTCTGCTAAGGAGGCAGTTGAGGAGGCAGGCTAGGTATCCAGTATATACTGAAGATGGGAGTGGGCTGACTGGGGTGCCTGAGGGGCTTTGGAATCACCTGATTCATGATGGGGGATTGTGATAAATGATAAGTGATAAGTGGGCTTTCTGGGACAGAGGCTATTGTGGGAGAATGAAACTATAGTTGTGATGAGCAATGGAAGGTATGGTAGGAAGCTCTGGGTGGCTGGCATCCAGAGAAAGAGTTCACATCTTTGATTGTTGCCCGTTCAGCACCTTCAGCTTCAGCCTTCATCTCAAGAGCCAGAATATAAATCTTTGGAGCCCAGGAGTTTCAGATGCTGTTAAATGCAAGGCTTATCTGTAACAAATCCATATTCATCCATAAATTAATCTAAATGTTGGCAGAAGCTGTGAGAGTCTGGATGAAGAAAAGCAGGCTTTAGCTCAACTTTACCAAGACTTACTAGGGATTTTGCCTCAGCCCTACTCCCAGATCCCAGAACTGGAGATTTTACACTTTGGCCCTGGATGGGGTTGCATTTCCCCACTCATACCTAGTGTACAATCTTGAGGTCCTCTTGGATTCACGGCTCCTGCTCAAGGAACAGCTGCCAGCTCTAGTTAGGAAAGATTTTGCATAACTTCATTTGGTGGGCCAATGCCACCCATTCTGCGATGAGGACAACTTGTCGATCATTCATGCCTCTTGATTGGACTATTACAATACACTCTACACGGGACAGTCCCTATAAATTATCCACAGTTTTGACTGGTCTAGAATGCAGGAATGTAGATCATTATGGGTATAACTTGGCATATCCATATAACTCTGGTACTTTGCAAGCTGCACTGGGTGCCTCAGTTCCTGGGTGCAAATCAAGGTGCTGGTTAACTTCTATACAGCCCTACAGAGCCCAGGATGGCCGAGACTTCATCTGATGATGTCTCTGGGATCATTTTGGGTTTAAGAGCCCTGAGGAAATTGATAGGCTCAGCTCTGCCAGTTTCTGTTTGAATTACAGTCTCTCATGGCTAGTGAAGACTTTCCATGAGATGGCTGTTTTGCTGAGGAAGTTGTGTTTTCATTGGGACTGTAGTGTGTCCCTGCTCAAAAAGCTTTCACTCAATCTGATTCTTTTGGATACTTTAGGTCTGTCTATGCCTTTCCTTTCTACCCAAGTAGAAAACAACTGTATCCCCAGAGAGCCCTAGGGCCCTAGATTATTAGAAACTGCAACAGATTTCAAGCTAGGGTACATCAGAAAAACTAGATTGGTCATGGTTGCAGATGGAAAGACCAGGGTTGGGAGATTCCCACTAACATTGGAGTCCTTCTTGGCATCTCAGTAGCTTTCAATACTATCAACCATACTATGCTTCTGGAACATCACCGAATAACTGGACTCATCTTGCAGTGGCTCTTCTCCTTTCTGAAATGATGTTTCCAGTTGGGTGAGGGGAAATATATGCTTGAAAACCTCTACTTTGTGAAATGCCTCATAGTTGTATCCTGTCCCTACTTCTCCTTATCATCTACAAAAAACTGTTGGGGAAGAGCATTATGAATATGATGATTATATCCAGCTATACAGTTCAGCTCCAGGCTGAAAAAAATGATACGGCGGAAGTGCTGGTCAAGAGCCTTTAAGCCGGAAGGTCTGGATGGGGAGAAACAGACTCAGACTGAATCTCTCCAAGATGGATCATCTTAGGGTTCGTGGGCCTAACAAGTGCAGTGAAATACTGATTCTGAATGGGTTTGTATTCTTTCATTCAGAGTGGTTTGGGAGTCCTTCTATACTCATAGCTCCTGCTTAGTGAATGATTGGCAGGTGCGGCTAAATGGGCTTCAGCACTTTCTGTGCACTTATTGCATACTTTCCTGAATTGGGAGGACCTGCTCACAGTTACACATGTCCTAGTTACCTCTCAATTAAATAACTGTGGTACTCTACATGTGGCTACTCTTAAAGTACATGGGAAAGGTAGAGCTAGTACAGAATATGGCAATCTGGACAGAGATGAATGTATCCTGGCATACCCTGTGTCCTTGCTATTTTGGAAGCTGCACAGGTTGCCAGTTGGCTTCTGGATACAATTTAAAGCCCTGCTTGTCATCTTTAAGGCCCTTCATGCCTCCCAACTTTGTTAGGACTGCCTTCTCCTATATACAAGCCCACCCTACTTGTGCCAGCAGAGAGGGTCTACTATAGATTCTGTTAGTTAAAGAACTCTGACTTTTGGGATCTAGAAGAAGAACCTTCTCTGTCATAGCACCTGTCTTTTGAAACATCCTATTCTTAGGATAAGATCTGTTCCCATCTGCATATCCTTTCACAGGAGCCTGAAGACCTGGCTTTGTGGTTGGTCTGGGGACTAAATAGGAGAGTTTCACGCTGGAGGTGGCTGCTGGATTGATGGCATACTCCATCTCTCCCCCTCTCTGTTCTCCACCCATCCACTCAGCCACCATCTTTTTTATCATATCATATTATTAAGTAAATTAATAAACAAGCAAGCAAGCAAGCAGCAATGGATATATGTCATTGAATGAGGGATTATTAGGAAATATTTAGATTCAACTGAGAGACTGAAAAATTGTTGGGAAAGAAGACCATACCAAGTCACTTTTATACTGTTGCCAAGAAATCTACCTGAATGTATCCACAAAGCCACCTCCAGTTGAGCCTGACTCACAGGAATCTTTGCTTTCTTCTGCTAATCACTCCCACAGTATGCAATAGAAGTTAATCTACTAAAACAGTGTTTCCCAAACTTGACCATTTTAAGGCATGTGGACTTCAACTCCCAGAATTCCACAGCCAGCAATGCTGGCTGTGGAATTCTGGGAGTTGAAGTCCACATGCCTTAAAATGGTCAAGTTTGGGAAACACTGTACTAAAAGATCATATTGACCTTTGAACCCATTCCACCAAAATCCAACAATCAGCTTCATAATAAAATCTTACGCTCCACGCAGTTTTTATCGAGCCTCGACCAAGGTGGTCTGGTGGTCTGCCTTACAAGTAAACTTCTTTGAAGTTGAGTGGGGAATAATAGCAGGAAGCTGGAAAGGACATCCAGGATTTGAAAATATAGCTTAACTCCCAATACTCACTCAAGCCAGTACTAGACAAGGATAAAGTTCTCTACCAATTAATCATTAAGATTGTCCAACAAGTTTGAAAATAAGTAATTTAGTAGAAACTATGTGCAAGTAGACCTCACTTGTCAATTCCCTTGTTTGAAGGTATGATAGTGCTGAAAAAATAGTTCTGCAACCAAGGCACACATTTATGAACATTGCAGCATCCCTCATTCATGTGATCACCATTACCATCAGTACACATCCTGTCACTGATCTTGGTCTTAATTTGTTTCCCCATTGCAGATGGTGAGATTGAGTGGGAGGGATTAGAAGAGAATAAGTAAGCACACAATAAGAAACATATCAAGTGTTTGCTAAGTGCACTCGTGGCTGCTAGTACATTGCTTTCAATCTCTTCCCTACTGTGTTCCTGCTTACTCTCTTCTAATCCCTTCCTCTCCAACAACGGTAAATGCATAATTAATTTCCTTCTTGCTATATACTCCAGCACTGGAGCATTCCAAAAGACAGGGGAGTAGGGAAAAAGAAAGTCACAGTCACAATCATGTAATCTCCCACTTAGCAACTACTTCACTTAAAGAAATTGCTGCTGGTTTTAACTAGGGTCACTAAGTGAGGACTACTTGCATTTTGTTTTATAGTATGGGTATGAGACAGGAACA